TTTTTCATTCTTGTACAGGTTTATGCTTCATTTTTTCTTGTTCTCCTTTGATCCACTCTGCATTGAGATTATATTCCTCTGGGTTGCTCCAAATATTCTCTCAAAATGTTTGTACAATATATGATGGCTTTTTGACTTTTATAAATGCTTTTCTTATATCCCTGTAAAACTCCTTGAGGTCCGTTCGGATTATATCGTTTTGTCGATAGAACCTACAACGTTTTTGATATCGTCTTGTTCTCTATGCCTTTAATTGCAATTTATCTTTATTATTATTATTATTATTATTATTACAGCAGTTAAGGAAAGAGCGCGATTTAAGAAAAGAAAAGAAAAAAACAATGTTAAACAATATTTCAACAGAATGTCTCTCTTCTTCAAGTTATAGTTAAAAAAATTCAAGTATAAAAATATATAAATCTACAAAAATATATTTTTATACTTGAAAATTAAAAAAATATATAACTTGAAGCAGACAGACATTCTGTCGAAATATTGTTTAACATTGTCAAACATTGTGTTTTTTGTTTTGTTTTTCTTTTCTTAAAGCACGCTCTTCTCTTAACTGTTGAAAAATATTGGAAGACTTATGTCAGTCATTTCGTTTATTATTATTATTATTCCTATTATTATTATTATTGGTACTGAAAAAGGAAACATAATAATAAATTACCGGCGACATTCGTCAGTTCCAGCTAAAATATCATACCTACATATTCCCCTATATATTCTTATTATTAACCAGATGGAAATTCCAGAAGAAAGCGACGTAACTGAAAGGAAATGCCATTAATGATAAAGCATTAACCTGCAATCATATTTTAACTATTGTGATTTCTTGTTTGATGTTAGCTTACTTTTTATATACAGTATTGTTCTCTACTATCACTAAAATGCTGTTGTAATGTTTTATAATGTACTAATAACATTATATGCTTAAATAAACTGAATTTTTTTTCTTGAAATGGGGATGCGTTTACTATGCACGTGTTGTTGCATTTTTTTGTGTATATCTACTAGTGAGTTAACCCAAATGCCTTGACTCACTTTATAGTCCACCAATAGAAGGTTAACCAATCAGAAGACGTAGAAAATTCAATCCGTCGTGTATAAAGGCGGCCATTTTGTTCACTCTACCCGAATGTCCAGTCCAGCTTGTCAGGCGAAGAGATAACAGAAGGACGAACTACGCTCTGCTACTTTTACCAAAATATCCACTGCTAACCTGAACAACGCTTTCCTACTGTCTTCGAAATATTCACTGCTAACCTCTGGATTCTATACTCGAAGACGACCGTCATGATGAATAACACGTGTGTCTTTTATGCCGTCAAATATGGTAAGCTAACGTTAAACTTTCTGCATTAATATGTTCGAATTACGACAAAAGTACCCGTTCAGCTATTATTTTAATCCTAATGTCCTAAGCTACACATTGTAGAAGCAGAATTTTTTATTGTTTGATTACACACATTATGTACTTGCTGGAAATACACTGCAGTTTTTAATAAAGAGATTAGTGAAAAGATAAAATTAAAAATATGTTGAAAGAAATTTGAACAGCAGTCGTATTATTTAGAATATTACTAAACTTAGTTCAGTTCAGCTTAGCATAGGGCCATTGAGAGATGAATTCCCTAGAAGTGGTCAGCAATACTTGAATTTTAAGTACCGTTCTACGAGAGAGGTTTCTTTTACGATTTGCCTGATTCATTGAAATAAGAGCAGAACTGAAAAGCGATCATTTCTCCGTCGAAATTCATTGTAATTACGAGAGAATTTGTTGCTTCTACCACCATTTTATCTTTGAAGGGGAAACTTTGACTTTGAAATATTATTTTATCTCATGATTGTTCTCAATTCTCCATTAATTTTTTTCTCTCTCTATATATATATCTTTAAAGGTAACGCGTGACTTTTTGATTAAACCACTCCAAGAATATGCCCAGAATAATTACATTAAACGAAAGACTTGCATCTAGTGAAAGAAATTATATCTTGTATATTGTGTTACTCCTATATCTTCTTTCTTTGCCTCTCCGTTCTGTCTTTGTTTCTCTTTCACTTTATCTTCTCTTTCACACACAGTTTAATTATAAGCAATGTTCTTTTTTTTTAATACTCGTCTTACAAAAAATTGATACAGTGAATGCCTGACTTGGAGGTAAAATCAATTTCTGTCACAATACTAAAAATTCATGTTCAGGATGTGCGGTAAGGTGCGTGTTCAGAGATAGACAGATAGAAAATCGTGCGTGCGGGTACACACACACACAAAGAAAATGGAGAACGTGGAAGAGAGAGAAAAAGAGAGTGGGAGGGAAAATGAAGAAAGTGAAATGGAGAAGTATCAAAAGGGAGAACAAGAGATATGGAGAGAGGAAGAGAAGGTGACAAAGGAAGCGAAAACAAGAGAAAAAAAACAGGAAAAATAGAAAACTTGAGAGAGAGAGAGAGAGAGAGAGAGAGAGAAGTAGCAAGAAACAAAGAAAAGAGAAAAGAGAAAGGAAGAAATATTTTCAGATTCAGAAATATGGAGAAAGAAAGAAAGAAAGAAAGAAAACATGTTTGGGAGAAAGAAGGAGATGATCAGAATCAGAGAGAAAGAGTGAGATGGAGGGAACGAGTGAGTAGGAGAGAGAGAATAGAGAAATGTTAAAATGTTCTGATTGCTCACTCGACAGATAAATTTTAGTAGAAAGCTTCAATCAGTGGAAATTCTTGAATCTTTGAAGTGAAGCGTTTGTCACTGTTCAGACGGAAAGTTGTATCTTATGAGTACTCGCAAACAGCGGGCTTCAGTCAGCAAGAAATCACTAAGTTTAAAGCCAGCCAATTCTGCCACACATCAATATTCCCTTGATGTAACTCGGTGACGTTAACGTCTCTTCCGTTGAACGCAATTCGAGTGGAAACAAGTTTATGTGAACAGATTTAGGTCGATCGCAGAGAAGAGATTTCCTTAAGTTTCTTTTAATGAGTAATTGCTTAATTATTCGTGTATAATACACACAGTTTTATCCCCAGATTTTTAAGCTTAAAAGTTAAGGGTGCGTATTATATAAGAGAATTAAAATTAGCTTTTTCCGGCTACGTGCGTTGCCATATTAGGAACGGTATGATCGAAGTTATATCTCTGATCCAGAATAACTAATGTGAAACAGAGTTAAAATTACTAATCAAAAGCTGCATTTGTTTATTTTAAAATATTTAAATAAACATTAGGAAGTAAGTTTAAATAATCTGGAAGTATTTAACAGATGATGGAAAGTGTAACAGAGAAATAGCAAAATATGCCTTCCAAAAGCTAAGCAAAGTATCAAGAAAGTGGAAAAATCATTAAAAACAAAGGAAAATGTACTGAACTGCTATGTAATATCAGTCCTCTACGGTGCATTGTGGAATCGGAGAGCCGAGTTCGAATTCCAGTCGAATCCAATACATTCATTTACGTGCTAATACCCTTGGGAAAGGTATGAATCCCCTTCTTCTCCCACCAGCTATGAGTAAATAGCAGGACAGACTGGGTTCTAAAGCCTTGGCTGGCAACTGGTCTACCTACAGTGGGAGAAATCTGCTTCGTCAGTCATGTATTGAAAGATACATGATTGCCTAAGCGTGTATCCCGCATGACACATAACTGAATATGCCAGTGAATGCTCGGTATTTTCCTTACAGGCAACAGAGATGCAGTTTGTCAGAAAAATGCTGAGAATTTCACAGACGGATCATATGACCATCGAAGAAGATTTAAGGAAAATGTAAACAAAATAGACACTTATAATTAAAATCTGAAAGAGGCAGGTGAAATTTATAGAACATATAATAAGAAAAGGAAGGTTTGAAGAATTTGACACTTACAGGACATATTGAAGGCAAGAGTGACAGAAGAGAAACAACGAGTAGCCTAATTAACGAGTAAATGGACGGTAAGACAGGAAGTGGGAGGGGTAGTAAAAAGACAAACAATGCTAAGAGCTAAAAAGGTATTATACGCGGATAATTACAGTAAAATTGGTTAGATTTTATTAACCATTTCTGGGCAAGAAGAATTTACATGAAGCAAAAGAAATGCGGTTCTACAGAAAGATGTTAAGAATACCATGGACTGAACGTGTGAGCAACGATGAGATTTTTAGAGAAAATACAAACAAAAAGGACACTTATACTTAACATCAGAAAAAACAGTTGAAATTTCTAGGGCACATAATGAGGAAAAGGGCTTGGAAAATATGATACTCACAGGACATATTAAAGGTAAGAGGAACAGAGGAAATCAGCACGCCTATAAAATAACCTAACGAACTTGGGTAAATGGATGGCAGAACAGAGATAACAAAAAGACAAAATTTACTAAATGCTACAAAATCCAAGAAATTATGGAGAGCCATGATTGTCCACACCCTGAAAGGAGACGACACATTGATTGGTCGATTTGTTTAACGGTATATCAACTCACAATAGGTCATTTAATGCCGAAATTTAATATTCTTGGGAGCTTTGAATTAATAAAATATGATATGTGTTATTCTGCTTTCACAGTTGAATACTTGGTAGATGATACTCAGCTTTTGTGCATATAAAAGTTTGTGCGGATATGATTACTAGTGGCGGTGATGTATGTTTTATGCTGTTTTTTGAAGTTATATTTTGAACTACAGTTTGATTTCTTTAAGAAATTATAGGATATTATATGGATTAATGGCATAAAAAGTTAATTATGATAATTGTTTGGTTGATTTTGTTTAGCAACATATCAACCATGAAGTTTTATTGAATGCCGAAATCTAAATAATTTGAAAACAATTTTATGGCTTCAACTAAATATATTTTGAACGCAATTGCATGCCTTCAACTACAGATAAAATGTATTGCTGGGTATTTTGTTTTAAAATGTATTGTTGGTCATTTCTTTTTCATATAAAAATATATTACTGATAACTTTAATATAAAAATGTATATTTATATTTTCGTAGTACAGTAGAAGTCCTCATATCCGAATGTCCTCATATACAAACGTTCACATACCAGAACGTTTTCATATCCGACCGTCCTCATATCTAAACGTTCTCATATCCAAACATTCTCATATCCGACCGTCCTCATATCCAAACGTTCTCATATCCGAACGTTCTCATATCCAAACGTTCCCATATCCGAACATCCTCATATCCAAACGTTCTTATATCCGAACGTCCTCATATCCAAACGTTCTCATATCCAAACGTTCTCATATCCGACCGTCCTCATATCCAAACGTTCTCATATCCGAACGTCCTCATATCCGAACGTCCTCATATCCAAACGTTCTCATATCCAAACGTTCTCATATCCGACCGTTCTCATATCCAAACGTTCTCATATCCGAATGTTCTCATATCCGAACGTCCTCATATCCAAACGTTCTCATATCCAAACGTTCTCATATCCAAACGTCCTCATATCTAAACTTTCTCATATCCAAACGTCCACATATCCGACCGTTCTCATATCCGACCGTTCTCATATCCAAACGTTCTCATATCCGAACGTTCTCATATCCGACCGTTCTCATATCCAAACGTTCTCATATCCAAACGTCCTCATATCTGAACGTTCTCATATCCAAACTTTCTCATATCCGAAAGTTCTCATATCCAAACTTTCTCATATCCAAACGTCCACATATCCAAACGTTCTCATATCCGAACGTACTCATATCCAAACGTTCTCATATCCGAACGTTCTCATATCCAACCGTTCTCATATCCAAACGTACTCATATCCAAACGTTCTCATATCCAAACTTTCTCATATCTAAACGTTCTCATATCCGAACGTCCATATATCCAAACGTTCTCATATCCGAACGTTCTCATATCCGAACGTACTCATATCCAAACTTTCTCATATCCAAACGTTCTCATATCCGAACGTCCTCATATACAAAAGTTCTCATATCCAAACTTTCTCATATCCAAACGTCCACATATCCAAAAGTTCTCATATCCGTCCTCATATCCAAACGTCCACATATCCAAACGTACTCATATCCAAACGTTCTCATATCCATACGTTCTCATATCCAAACGTCGTCATATCCAAATCTTCTCATATCTAAACTTTCTCATATCCAAACGTCCACATATCCAAACGTTCTCATATCCGACCGTTCTCATATCCAAACGTTCTCATATCCGAACGTTCTCATATCCGACCGTTCTCATATCCAAACGTTCTCATATCCAAACGTCCTCATATCTGAACGTTCTCATATCCAAACGTTCTCATATCCGAACGTCCTCATATCCAAACGTCCTCATATCCAAACGTCCACATATCCAAACGTTCTCATATCCAAACTTTCTCATATCCGAACGTCCTCATATCCAAACCTTCTCATATCCAAACTTTCTCATATCCAAACGTCCACATATCCAAACGTTCTCATATCCGAACGTACTCATATCCAAACGTTCTCATATCCGACCGTTCTGATATGCAAACGTACTCATATCCAAACGTTCTCATATCCAAACTTTCTCATATCTAAACGTTCTCATATCCGAACGTCCACATATCCAAACGTTCTCATATCCGAACGTTCTCATATCCGAACGTACTCATATCCAAACTTTCTCATATCCAAACGTTCTCATATCCGAACGTCCTCATATACAAACGTTCTCATATCCAAACTTTCTCATATCCAAACGTCCACATATCCAAAAGTTCTCATATCCGTCCTCATATCCAAACGTCCACATATCCAAACGTTCTCATATCCAAACGTTCTCATATCCGAACGTACTCATATCCAAACTTTCTCATATCCAAACGTCCACATATCCAAACGTTCTCATATCCGAGCGTACTCATATCCGAACGTTCTCATATCCGAACCTTCTCATATCCGACCGTTTTCATATCCAAATGTTCTCATATCCAAACGTCCTCATATCTGAACGTTCTCATATCCAAACGTTCTCATATCCGGACGTCCTCATATCCAAACGTTCTCATATCCGAACGTTCTCATATCCGACCGTTCTCATATCCAAACGTTCTCATATCCAAACTTTCTCATATCCAAACATACTCATATCCGAACGTCCTCATATCCAAACGTTCTCATATCCAAACTATTTCATATCCAAACGTCCACATATCCGAACGTACTCATATCCAAACATTCACATATGCGAATGTTCTCATATCCGACCGTTCTCATATCCAAACGTTCTCATATCCGAACGTCCTCATATCCGAACGTACTCATATCCAAACATTCACATATGCGAATGTTCTCATATCCGACTGTTCTCATATCCAAACGTTCTCATATCCGAATGTTCTCATATCCGAACGTCCTCATATCCAAACGTTCTCATATCCAAACGTTCTCATATCCGAACGTCCTCATATCCAAACGTTCTCATATCCAAACTTTCTCATATCCAAACGTCCACATAACCAAACGTTCTCATATCCGAACGTCCTCATATCCAAACGTCCACATATACAAACGTCCTCATATCCAAACGTACTCATATCCAAACGTACTCATATCCAAACGTTCTCATAACCAAACTTTCTCATATACAAACGTTCTCATATCCGAACTTCTTCATATCCGAACGTACTCATATCCAAACATTCACATATCCAAACGTCCTCATATCAGAACCTCCACATATCCAAACGTTCTCATATCCAAACGTACTTATATCCGACCGTTCTCATATCCAAACTTTCTCATATCCAAACGTCCTCATATCTGAACGTTCTCATATCCAAACGTTCTCATATCCGAACGTCCTCATATCCAAACGTCCTCATATCCAAACGTTCTCATATCCAAACTTTCTCATATCCGAACGTCCTCATATCCAAACGTTCTCATATCCAAACTTTCTCATATCCAAACGTCCACATATCCCAACGTTCTCATATCCGAACGTACTCATATCCAAACGTTCTCATATCCGACCGTTCTGATATCCAAACGTACTCATATCCAAACGTTCTCATATCCAAACTTTCTCATATCTAAACGTTCTCATATCCGAACGTCCATATATCCAAACGTTCTCATATCCGAACGTTCTCATATCCGAACGTACTCATATCCAAACTTTCTCATATCCGACCGTTCTCATATCCGACCGTCCTCATATCCAAACGTCCACGTTCTCAAATATCCAATCCTCCTCATATCCAAACGTCCACATATCCAAAAGTTCTCATATCCCGTCCTCATATCCAAACGTCCACATATCCAAACTTTCTCATATCCAAACGTCCACATATCCAAACGTTCTCATATCCGAACGTTCTCATATCCGAACGTTCTCATATCCGAACGTACTCATATCCAAACTTTCTCATATCCAAACGTCCACATATCCAAACGTTCTCATATCCGAGCGTTCTCATATCCAAACGTTCTCATATCCAAACGTCCTCATATCTGAACGTTCTCATATCCAAACGTTCTCATATCCGGACGTCCTCATATCCAAACGTTCTCATATCCAAACTTTCTCATATCCAAACCTTCTCATATCCGAACGTTCTCATATCCGACCGTTCTCATATCCAAACGTTCTCATATCCAAACTTTCTCATATCCAAACATTCTCATATCCAAACATACTCATATCCGAACGTCCTCATATCCAAACGTTCTCATATCCAAACTATTTCATATCCAAACGTCCACATATCCGAACGTACTCATATCCAAACATTCACATATGCGAATTTTCTCATATCCGACCGTTCTCATATCCAAACGTTCTCATATCCGAACGTCCTCATATCCGAACGTACTCATATCCAAACATTCACATATGCGAATGTTCTCATATCCGACTGTTCTCATATCCAAACGTTCTCATATCCAAACGTTCTCATATCCAAACGTTCTCATATCCAAACTTTCTCATATCCAAACGTCCACATAACCAAACGTTCTCATATCCGAACGTCCTCATATCCAAACGTCCACATATCCAAACGTCCTCATATCCAAACGTCCTCATATCCAAACGTCCTCATATCCAAACGTTCTCATAACCAAACTTTCTCATATCCAAACGTTCTCATATCCGAACTTCTTCATATCCGAACGTACTCATATCCAAACATTCACATATCCAAACGTCCTCATATCAGAACCTCTACATATCCAAACGTTCTCATATCCAAACGTACTCACATCCAAACGTTCTCATATCCAAACGTCCAAATATCCAAACGTTCTCATATCTGAACGTTCTCATATCCGAACGTACTCATATCCAAACTTTCTCATATCCGAACGTCCTAATATCCAAACTTTCTCATATCCAAACTTTCTCATATCCAAACGTCCACATATCCAAACGTTCTCATATCCGACCGTTCTCATATCCGAACGTTCTCATATCCAAACGTACTCATATCCGAACGTCCTCATAACCGAACGTACTCATATCCAAAGTTTCTCATATCCAAACGTCCACATATCCAAACGTTCTCATATCCGAACTCTCTCATATCCGAACGTACTCATATCCAAACTTTCTCATATCCAAACGTTCTCATATCCGAACGTCCTCATATCCAAACGTTCTCATATCCAAACTTTCTCATATCCAAACGTCCACATATCCAAACGTTCTCATATCCGAACTTTCTCATATCCGAACGTCCTCATATCCAAACGTTCTCATATCCAAAGGTTCTCATATCCAAACGTACTCATATCCAAACGTTCTCATATCTGAACGTTCTCATATCCAAACGTTCTCATATCCGGACGTCCTCATATCCAAACGTTCTCATTAGCGAACTTCTCAGTGTTGCCATTTAGATGTAGGAATATGCTATTTTCTAACATTATTTCTTTACATACAATTGTTAGTAACTTGAAATTTCTCAACACGTAATGTCACACACAGAAGAAACTGCACGTTACATAAGAAATTAGAGTTTATTGAAAAACTGGGTGAAGTTCCAAATTCGTTAAATTTGCAAATTGACAAACAAGGATTGCAGAATCTGAATGAAGCACTGAAACATGCACTTGAAGATGATTCACTGAATAATTTCCCTTTGCATGACTTAAAAGGATGGATAAACGAAGGCGCTAATACATTACAAAAATTACAAGGGTAGAATCGCTTCAAAATAATTTTGATTGTCTATAAATAATAAAATTCTTTTGATAATAGTGAAAACAAGGATGATGAAGAATGTGATTCAGTAGAAAAGGCTATTGATGACGTCATCAAATTCACGGAGAAAAAAATTCAGTACACGTAATTTGAAGAAACGCTTTACTTTAAAAAAAACTAGAACGGTGAAAAGTAAGCAAAATGAGAAAGGAAATAAGAAAGAGAATTGAAAATAAAACATATTGGGCATTAAACATTGCTAATTAATATTTACTTTCGTGAGACATTTAATTTTTCATATATTGCGTTAAGTTCTTGTGTTAAGTTATAGTCATAATACACATGCCACATTATATTCGAACCCGTCCTTATATCCGAACCATCCTAAAGTGTAACATATTCAGCTCTGACATATCTTGGCCTCGAATAGAAAAATAAGGATTCCTAAGAGACTAAATAGCTTATCTAGAAAGCAGGTATTGATCATAACAGAACAAAATAAAGGCTAAGCGTAAATATCAAAAAGAGGAGGACGTTACGTAATCAGTCTGATGATTAGATTAGAGGTAAATTGGCTAAAACGTTAGTTAACATAGCTTCAATCTGAACACATTAACAAGTTTGATGTCAAAGAACTACTAAAATAGGTAAACAGATAAATTTATGTGCGTCGTAAGTCATTTTAGATGCAAAAATACAAAAATAAACTTTCAGTGAAAAAGTTAATTTAAGCATGACTTAGTAAAGTCCAAGTCCAGAACTCGAAAGCGGAATTAAAAAATAAATTAAACTTGTTTTTTTTTTTGCTGTTGTTGTTAGGCATGAAAATATAAAGAGTTTTTCTGTTATAGAACTTTTCATGAGAATTTGTTGAATTAATTAAACACGTGCAGAAGGACAAGCGATATAAAAATTTCTTTGGCGTCGGTTTCTAAAGAAAGAATAAAAGGAAGCCATTTCCTTTGTTGGAAACCCAATCATTTTAGTCTTGCCTTGAAATGTTTCATCTTAACAAATAACTGCAGGTGAGATTCGGATCAATATGACGAGAAAGATAATATAAAAGAAAGTCCATTTAATGTAAATGAAGAGCCAAAGAGAAAAACAATTGACCAAATAAATAACAACTACGCAGGTGGATGATAAACCAGCCTTAAAAAAAAAAGAAAATTTATAATTGTTAAAATATAAAATGATAGGTGTAACTCTGAAAGAGACTCTTTTCGGTCATTCGCATATGATACACAGGTGTGGTTGGTTTCGAATTTTATTTAATCCTCATCAGGACATTAAAACTGGAGTCTATTTTAACAGAGAACGGGAATTGTAACAGCGAAATCCAAAGGTTCATTGGAATAGAAAAAGATGCTAGGCAAATTATTAAGAAATAGGGAAAATTAATTAGAAACAAATAAAAGTGCAGAACTGCTATGTAATATCAGCTCTCCTAGCAGTGAATGTTCGACAATTTCCTAACAGATGAAGAGGAGACTTGACGCAGCAGAGAAGCAGTTCTACAGAAGGAGACCGAGAACACTATGAACTGAACATGTGAAAAACGACGATGTTTTAAAGAAAATGAAAGCAAAACGGATGCATATATTCAGAATCAGAAAGAGACAGTTAACATTTCTAGAATACATAATGAGAAAAAAGGCTTGGAGAATTTGACATTCACAGGACATATTGAAGGCAAGAGGAACAGTTGGGAACAGCGAGTAACCTATCCAAGAAGCTTGTGTAAATGGATGATAGAACAAGGAGTGAGAGGAATGGCCCAAAAAAATTCTTAGTAAGAGTTACAAAGGATAGGAAGTCATGGAGTGCCATGATCGCCTATATTCGAAATGGACGTGGTACACAGAAGAAGAATCTAATTTTTCTGTTTGGATGACATATAATAATTAACTATTTACCCCACCTGCGAATGGCTCAAAAATATTTTTCGTGCCTTACAGGCAAAGCTTAGGCATCAGTTAGACTAATGATTACACAGATGGTGTATACTGTCAGTTTTTCTACCTAACCTGCTTCCGTTATATTTAATAGGAAAAGTAGCTATCGATCTTCAAATGCAGCAGTTGTCTGTCATTTTCTTGTGGTAAGAGCCAATTACCCTTTTTACCATCATGAATGAACTGACAGATTAATGAAAAGTAGTCTTAGGTAACTGTCTAGAAAAAGAAGATAAAACTATTTTCCCTAAAAGAATTGGCCCTTGTTCCTCGGCGCTGTCTTCCCCATCCACAAAACATCATGTCTTCTTTTCCAGTGGTGAGATCCCTATCTCCCACTCCTTCTAAAATGAACACCTTAAAGAAGGCCTCCATTCGCAAATCATCATCCAAAGACAAACCTTCCACTACCAATACCCTTAATCTATCCCCTGTCGAAACTCCCCACCGGCACACCAAAAAAATCCGAAAACACAAAATGACCATCACCTGAGTCCCCTGAACCAACAAATAAAACAAAGCCTAATCCCATTTATAACACAGGGGAAGACGTGTGCCGTATCAAGAGAGAGAGAGAGAGAGAGAGAGAGAGAGAGAGAGAGAGCATTATCTTAATGTAGGAAAATTAAAGACCTGAAATTGTTAATTAGTTTCAAATCGCTAAATGGTCCAGACATTGAAACCCCGAGAAGTTTCCCCAAGGCTGAAAGACTATTAACAGTTGTAAGATCTGGTCAAGGGGACAACAGATTTGAAACATGATGGATGAAGCAAACAATGTTTTTGGAATGTTTCTCTCATCAGCATTTTATAATAAATTCAATTCCAAAATTTAAAACAGTTTTGTTCTGGGAGGTTCCCGCTTTTTATTCACCCCTCCTTTTATAGAGCCTTGAAATTAACATTTTCCTGGGACATTGGTGGCCTGTTTCATGATAGTGCCATCAATACTGAGATGGGAATAGGATCAATGGGACAGACCGTCGGTGTCATCACCCTGGCCATGTTCAATGGAGAAGAGCAACCTTAATAGGTCTGATAATAGCACTCTGGTTAGCTAGTGTGAATGCCCGGGGCCTGAGATCAGAGTCTCGCAGAGCGAGGCTCTCTCGTGACCTTCAGTGTCTCGGGTTGAATTTTTGTTGTGTGCAGGAGACCTGTTTTTCAACTAGTGATTACGAGGACATTCTGACTAGGCGCGTTTTCCCTCTATTCAGCATGTTTTTTCTGGTCACTCGTGAGGAGTTTCTTTGAACGCGGCGTGTGCTCTTCTCTTCGTGGATCCGGCGGGCAGGCTTTACGTGTTGGATGTTACTATAAAGGATAAGGCTCTTTGTCTCATTGGGGTTTATGTCCCCAATGACCATTCTTAGCGGCATGATTTGTTTCGACAGATCGAGCCGTTTTTGACGACATCTTGTCGGTTAGTTTTAGCGGGTGATTGGAATGCCATCCTAAATCCCGATATAGATTGTATCGGGGCAAGATCGGGTATTAACAGCCGAGACGTGAAACCATTTCTGGACTTTATCGATAAGTTTGATCTTATCACATGTGGCACAAGGCAGTCACATGTGGCACAAGGCAGTCACATGTGGCACAAGGCAGTCACATGTGGCACAAGGCCGAGTTTAATGTGGGGTTCCCGAGCCCGTAGGCTCGGCCCAAAATATGCCCATTGAACCCGTATAAACGGGTTCAGGGCCGGTTTACCTCCCCGAAAGAGACCCCGCCCTTCGGCGTAGCCTCCTTCGGGTTCCTCTCCGCCCAAAGGCAGAGAGTTCAACCGAACAGTCGGTCAAGAAAGCGAACGACTGACAATATTCAGTCACCCCACCACTGGGGCATAATGTGACACAAGGTCGGTTATTTATTGTGGGTTCTCCGAGCCCATGGGCTCGGCCCAAAAATATGCCCATTGAACCCGTATAAATGGGTTCAGGGCCGGTTTACCTCTCCGACCGAGACTCCGCCCTTCGGCGTAGCCTCGTTCGGGTTCCTCTCCGCCCGAAGGTAGAGAGTTCAACCGAACAGTCGCTCAGAAAGTGAGCGATTGACGATATTCAGTCACCCCCCCCACGAGGGTGTCATGTGGCACAAGGCCTTTTTAACGTAGGCATTCCGAGCCCGTGGGCTCGGCTAAAAATATGCACATTGAACCCGTATAAACGGGTTCAGGGCCGGTTTTACCTCCCCGAACGAGACTCCACCCTTCGTCGTAGCCTCCTTCGGGTTCCTCCCGTCTGTAGGAAGAGAGTTCAACCGAACAGTCGATTCAGAAGTGAACGACTGACGATATTCAGTCACCCCCCCACGAGGGTGTCATGTGGCACAAGGCCTTTTTAACGTGGGCATTCCCGAGCCATTAGGCTCGGCCAAAAAATAGCCCATTTGAACCCGCATAAACGGGTTCTGGGCCGGTTTTACCTCCCCGAAGGAGACTCCGCCCTTCAGCGTAGCTTCCTTCGGGTTCCTCCCGCCCGTAGGAAGAGAGTTTAACCGAACAGTCAGTTCAGAGGTGAACGACTGACTCCCTGAGCGACTGCTACTACTCCTACTTATTATAGGTGGAAGAGTCTATTAACAATAGAATAGGTGTGTTTTACTATAACAATTATATAGTTTACTCAGATCATAGGCTCGTCCGGGTTCGTGTAAACTTAGATAAGGCTAAGGTTAAGATGGCTGGCTACTGGAAATTGAACTCACCAGCTACAACTAATACCACAGCAGGAAATGTCGGAGGCTGTGGTTGGGAATATGTATTGGGATAAATTAAAACCCAAAATTAGGTCGTTTGCTGCTGAATATAGTCGTCGGCTCAATCCAGATAGATTAGCGGTGCAAACAGCGTGTGATCAAAAAGTCGGTCGGGCAGTAAAATCCCGTGATAGCGGAGACGTAGG